TTTCCTTTTACTTTTTTTTTTTATCTTATGGATTTTTTACTTTTTCATCATAGGTACCACTACCCTTATAAGCTCCCACATATCCACTGGTGTCTGGAATGTTCTCACGCCCAGCCTTTCCTTTTCCTTTGCCTGAGTCGTCAAACCGCTCCTTGTGTGAGCCGGTGTACTTGGTTGTGTCTGTCAGACGGTCCACAGCTGCTGCCTTGGCAACTTTCTAAAAGCAGTAAATGTAGAAACATCTGAAATAAGTCTAAAATAGTTAGCAGGGTAAGCACAGTTCATTCATCTCAGAAATTAAAAGCAATACACAAAGAAACGCAACATTCAGTATTAACTTGTGCAAAACAAGAAAGCAACAGGATTTATTAAGGGAGCAATGATGAGAATAAAACTTTAATTTAGTCGATAAGAGAAACAACACTGGAAAAAATCTAAATCTAGAAAAGCCATTTTTTCTTAAAATAAGTAGAATCATTCTTGAATTGAGGAGGTAAGTGAGACACTTTACCAATGAAACTAGATAATTTACATTTGAAATAGAAAAATATTGCATTGTCTTATTTTAAGTGCTTATTATCTAATTATCTTATTTTAGGAGTAAAAATACTAAGTAAATTGGAAAATCACTTTACCTACCTACTCAAATCAAGGGTCAATATACTTAATTTAAGAAATGTTGACTTATTTCTAGATTGTTTCTGCACTGTACACGTTTCTGATGTCTTAATATTAAGCTTAAATGGCATAATTTATGTTAATAAATACCCCCCTCCCCTAACAGACACATAAGCACACACAAGCAGTAGGCTTTTTAATTAAAAATAAGAATATAACTGTACTGAGCCAGTTAAAAAGCTACTCCATAAAAAGGCAGAAATTATACTTGGAGTCCATGAATGTTGGACAGTTGAGGCCAAATACTTACAGTGACTCCAGCATTGGCAGGTTCCTTCCCTGCAATGAGACCATAGAGCTGCTGAACTGCCTCCTCTTTGCTCTTGCCTTTGAAACGCTTCGAAGCCAGCTCAGTCAGGGCCTCGTTAAACTGCTCAAACGTGATGACGCGAGCGGACTTTGCCCTACAGAAACACACAGTGTTGCCAGTTGTTTTCTAAAGAAAGTGACAGAATTAGACATGTCATATCGCACTCCAGTGAGGATATAATGTAAATATCAATCTATAAGGAGATGCATGTTGGTTTTATCAAAAGTGTAGTTAGGAAATTTCTGTAATAAAGATGGCTTTTAAATATGACCAACTAGGCAATAGTGGGTTTTGACAGGATAGACTCTTAATTATAATTAATATGATTTACTTAAATATACTCAATACTAGTTCAAATAAGCAATCACCAAACATGAAACCAACTTTGCTGCTCTTTATTATTGGGACATTTTGCTGACTCTAGATGTAAAGATAAATTATCCTGGCTTCAGTCTTACTTGACTTTGCTGAAAACTATATCAACATCCGTGGTGGTGACGTTCTTGCCGTCTATAATGTGACAGTCTTTGCACATCTTTACAAAGTTCTTTCCATTCATCTCCTTTCCAGTGGCTTTGGTGTCTCCATGTACTGCAAACTTCTGGAAAGAGGTCTCCACCTCTGCCATAGATACTGTGCCCTCGGCCATGCTATGACAGAGAAAAGATGCATTTTTACTACTCAAAAAATATTCTACGCAATAAATTGTTGTTAAAATGTCCAGCTCATCTTATCATGTCAATATGCTTGTGCAAATTCTTGCCACCCTGCTCATGTCAGTGACATAATTACATTCTCTGAACCCTTTAACAGACTTTTTTAATGGAAAAGTGGCTTTGGAGAACAGAAACAACAAATAAAGTTAAATAAAATTACCTAGGTCATTTCATCACATGCTACATGGAAATGCAATTATAGAAAAATGTGGAAACTGCACTTTACATGTGGAGAAATTTTACATCCTTAAGGTTTTCCCACCCGTTTCAAAAGTTGATTTTCTCATAATTATTTGCATAGAATCTGTAATTTTTTTCCCACAACTTTCACCTAACCCTTACATGTTATTGCCAGATATAACATAAAAATACTTTCACAAAAATCACATCTTGGTTAGTCTCACATCTTTACAGTTGATCTACTACTTAGACTTTTAAGAAACTGATTTTAGAAATTACAATAAAGATGGCAGAGAATTTAAACTTATCTAAAATCACCACTATTCCATGTGCAAAAAGTGAGTTTTACATGTGAAATAATTCAAAAGAAAGTCGCTTTATGATCTTTAAATTTAAATTATATAATTTCAAATCTCTTAGCTAATTGGTTCAGTGCTTGCCAGAAAATGACAGCCTTAATGGCCGCCTTCATTTTCTCCTTCCATTTACACAGACACACACTTAGATACTTATACACACCCATAACATCCGTCATTATGTCAGTCTTACTGCAGCTGCACTCAAGCCAATTTAATTTAATCAAGTCAGTTTCCAAATGGCTCATCCTCCCCCAATGATTAAACAACACTGTTCTGCCTTTTTTTTTTCCTTCTCTGTTACAGTTTTGTCTGCTTTTCCAGTAAATAGTATAATGCCTGCTAAAAATAAAAACACTTGGATAAAACCATGATGCCGAAGTGAAACAAAAAGTGGATGGTTCGTCTATTGTGTCTCATCAATGGATTAATTTGGATCAACAGTAAAGGATATTTTCATACCTGCAGTAAATATATTAAACTAAAATCATGCACCTAGTGCTATCTTTTTTGTGAAGTATTTAGGTGAACAAAATACCATGAATACCAAAACCATGCTTAACACTCCTTATATATATACCATTGTGGTGATACTCCTGCTTGTTCTTTAAACTACTAACATAACAGATAATAAACACCCACAATAGATACAAATCTAGAGTTTTGTGTTATTATGCATACCATACTATAGCCTCCAAAGCTAGTTCTGAGTTTTTAAAATTATTTATATTATGTTTGCATTATATTGCTACAAGGACCTCTGCTGTAATAGCGGATAAAACGTACCTGCTGTCGTAAACGTGGAGATGCTATGTAAATATTTAGCTGCTTCCCCTCTCCTTTGCTTTGTCCTCTGGTTCTCCTCCTTCCTGTCACGCCCAGATTTTTTTTAGAGTGATGAGGCATACAGAGATGCAAGGGGAGAGAGGCTGAGAGGGGCTGGGATGGGAGGAGGGAGAAAGTACCAACCAGCACAGCCAATGACATCATCGGTGCTCACTCCCTCTAGTGTCTGTTTAGTCTCTGTATCCTCCTGTCTCATTGAGAAGACTCACTTTGACAGAAGGATTTTAATCCATCGCAGAGAGCAACAGACAAGATATTAATACTGAAGCTATATGTATCCTTCATTTGCCCGTGAGACAACAATTATGTAGTTGTAATTCAAAGTAATTTATTGAATCTTCAGATGTACAAGCTCCTGTACACTAACCTAAGTAAAACTGCCAAAGAGATTGACTGAAAACTCCTTCCAGCTCTAGTTGGCACTAATACATGCATTTGTTACTTTTAGGATGGACTAATGCAGTTTGTCAGTGCCAGGAAGTTCAAACAATGCAGTTAAATGCTTTAACCTTATCTAAAACATGCAGTATGAGTTCTGGTGTTGGAATAAAAAGAGAGATCAGATTTAACTTTTTTAGCTTATCTTTACTGGCTGTCTGTAAATGCAGAATATGATTTAAAATTATCCCTCTAAAAATACAGTGCAAATACTAATGATACATTTCATGCTTTTAAATCATTCATTTCCCTATTTAACTAATTCAAAGGGGGTCCATATAAAGTGTAAATTGCAATGATTTGTTCTTTTGGTCTTGAGTTATTTATTCAGTGGTTAAAGTGGCTCCCTGTATCTCAGAAATAGAGCTTAGAATACTTATATTAGTCTATAAATAACTGAATGGCTCAAAACCAAGATACATTACAGACTTCTTCTCAGTATATCTTCTCAGTATATCAACCGCCCAGACGTCTCAGAACTCCTACCCTTAACACGAAGAAGCAGTTTTTAGTTCCCAAGCTCCACTAATCTTAAATAAAGAAAAGTGTGAAAGTAGAGTATTTTTTACATTGTACATTTCTTTGTTTTCTGTTTTTTTGCCTGCTTGCCTAGAGTTTCCGTTGTTTCTACATCCACAAGGATTTAATTCTGAGAATGATTTAATGCAATCTGCTGTTTTTCCTAAGAAAGATATATCTTTAAACAATCTGAAAAATAAACTTATCCTGAGTCCATAAGTTGGTAAAAATCATAATGTACGTCTGTCTGGATCATTAGAATTCCCTTATAAATTGCCTTGAGACAAGGGGTGGTTCTGGACAGGGGCCAACAGGGGCCAATGCCCCTGTAGAACTGGTCCCTTCCCTTATACTGAATATAAAATATTTTATCAAATGATAACTGCTTGGTTATCTAGAGACATATTTTACCTATAAGTTGTATTTTAACAATGATGTCAATCCTAAGCTGTTGCATTTTTTGCTTCAGTCTTATTTTAAAATAGGATCACAGTTTTCATGTGCTATTTCTAGGACCTCAAGGGCCAAAAGTTAGCCTTTGTTTCCATGCTCAGTTATTTGTTTCCTGCTATTGTTCAATTGTTCTGTGCCACTGTAGATACCAGTTCTGCTTGAGTGCTTCAATTTAAATTTTGAAGAAGTACTAAGCTGAAACCGTATATCCAAAAAGTTTGACATTATTTTCTTTATTTATGGTTGGCTACATAAATTCCATTAAGATGGTCTCCATTCCCAAATTCCTCTATATATTTCAAAACTTCCCAATTTTTCTTCTGTTTGTCTGCAATCTTTAAGGAAGTAGATTCCATTAATGCTCATTTTGTTGGAAACAAGATCCCCAGGATAACAAAGGTGTATTTACATTTGCCTCAATCAAAGGGGCAGTTTGGGTCTGACGCTATTATTGGGCAGCAAATATTAGGGCTGTGATATTTTGGCAACAGGCTGCTTTGTGGCTTAAAATGGAGACCAATTCTATAAACTTCTCCTCTTTCCCAGTCATTTTATTTTCCAAGCTTGACAAACCTGGCTACACTAGTATGTTAAAATGAGAAGGATTTGTCCCCTTGGAAGGAAGGCTGTAGCGCCCCGGGGGCCTTCTCACTGGTTCTTTTCCTGGGAGCAAGTTATTTACTACTCTGAACTCAAACTTGGTAAAACCATATAAAAAGGACTATAAAAACAGGAGTAAAAAATGACAGAGTTTATTCCAGATCAGGTCATTACAGGACAGAGAAAAAATGCTTAGAGCTTGCACAGCTGTGGTCTCAAAAATCACGTCCACGAGCGTCCGGCAAAGTTTGAGCCCCGAACAACGTCATTACCTGCTTCTTATACCTCATGGGTCTATGTGTTGCATCATGTTGATGTTGAGCTGGCCGTATCAGAAACTGACACGCCATCCATGTCTCGAACTTCATGCAGCTTGCTTCTATGCCTCAGGGTTATAGATAGCTATCCTCTATCAGACTGACTCCAAGATGTGCCCATATCCTGTGTACTCTTAAAGACACGAAGGCTGTCTTGATTAGATGACCTCCGTACACACCATGACATCCACAATGTGAAGGAAGGCCTCCTACTCTGTCTACTCTGGCAAACAAAGTAACAATGCAAATGATGTATAAAGTATAAACCTAACAAGTACACTCAGCCTTGTGGTGAAACACTGTTAGAATCCTGAATGAGCTCAGAAAGATTTTGGCAGTGCCAGACACCTCAGTAAAGACACCCATCTCTTTTAATTATGCCTTTCTTCCGTCATGGACGATGTGTCTGGACAGAAGGGCATGTTGTCAAATAGTAACCTTAATACTAAAAAAATAATAGCTTAATCAACAATCAACAAAAAAGATATGACTGGCCTTATACAGCCTCCTTCAGATATTTTCAGATTAGAAATTACATTCAATCTACAACTAGGCACATTGATCGTCTTTCCAGCTGAACAGGAGAACAATTAAGTTTTATATAGTCCTCTTGACTCCAGGGGCTTAATCTCTAAAATCATAAATCTCTTGATGATTGCTTCTCCGTGATCATTGTGAAGGTCAGGGACATCTGAAGCCATGATATGGGTGCAGAATTGACAGGGTCTATGTAGGGAAAAGTATGTTGAAAATTCCTGTTTTGTTAAAAGTAGATACCAAGGATTGCACTTAGTTTACATTATTCTAAAATCTGCCCTGTTTCTTACCTATTTTGAGGTATAACATCAGATGGCACATTGTCTCATACTTGTCCTGTTCCTCACTGACAAATCTCTGATGCAAAAATCTGAATGCAACTCCAGGGCCTATAAAAGGCCTCTCCATCCCTATGCAGGAGTAGCCATTTTTGGCATCTTATGGACAATGAAAGATCTCCCTGAATTGCTGTACGACCTCTGGAGGTGGAAATGGTTGCAGCCAAAAAGTGTATTCTCAAAGAATGGAATTGCCAACTGATTCCTGCTTCCAGATGTGAATCGTTGACATACTGTGATCTTTAAGGGATCACTCTATCAATCGATCTGACATTTCATCACTGCTTAAAAACCATTCCATGCCTTACCTTATGGAGGTTGAGGTTATCTGACTTGCTGGCGTTTTGGCCCAAACACACGATCACTTTCCCTTTGGTCTCCCATTGAGCATTGTATTTGTCTTACTGACCATTTACTGACCTCAGTCTATTTTATCCGTTTGGCTGTTAATGCATTTGTGAAGATTTTGAATGAAATTAATTAAAGAAAGATAAATATGAATATATAATACAGCATGTAATTGTCTGTGTTATGTAGCTATTCCTTACAGAAAGTCACTCAACTAATGAGTTAAGTTAGTAAAGCATTGCCTTAGGGATCCTGCTTTAAAACGAGGCTGCTGTAGTTCTTTTTTAGGCTATTCCATCCTGAATAAATAGGTCCCCATTAACCTTTGATATGCCTTGATAACTTCAAAGGCATGCTAATTTTCACCATAAATCATATTCCTTTCAAATTTAGTCCAGACCCCTTTGAACCACTCAGCCATAGTTTAGAAATACGTTCAACAAAAATTTCTCGCAAAGTTATGTATTTTATTTTGTTATTTCTTTCCATCATTCTTTGTAATTGTTTGCTTTATTTAATTTGTGTCTATGCAGAATGAGTTCCCTCTTTGTTGCCCATTTTACTGGAAAGTTCACAACACAGCTGTCACTTTCCAGTCCTCTACAACTCTTGCTCTCTTGCCTTCTCTCCCAGCTGGTGTATTAACAAGAGGTTCCTTGTTCTGGATAAGATGAGAGGGGCCCTTCATAGAACAAAGAGCGAAGACAACAGAAAGCTGGCACTTAATGAGAAATTTAAAATCAACCTTTCAGCCTAAATGTATCAAAGATAAATATATGCAAATGAGCAGCTTCAGAGTGAAGAAAAATGCATGAAATTGTCATGATCTAGGAAATCTAAGTTAAATCACAACACCAACAAGTTGGGAGACAGGTTTAGAATATTACTTTTAATAAGGAAAAAAAAAAGGCGCTTAGAGGGAAACTGAAACTGAGAAAGAGGAGACTTTTCTGGATCTTCAGTACTGTGAAGGAGATGAGAGTAAGTTGGTGGAGGAAAAAACTGAATATTCTATGGTTTGGTTTGCTTTTGGTCACAGGGAGATAAGATCCCGAGGGAGGACTGGGCATTGGAGGATGGTTTCTTGGCAAGGAGCTTGGCAGCTCTGAGTAGTTCTGGTGGCTTGAAAACATAACGGTGAGGATTTATGGATGGAATGAAAAAAACTGTTGCATCCAGACTTGAATAGGAAAAAAGAAGAGCTAGGAGTCCAGTCCAAAACCATGGAGGAATTCTGTAATGATTAGGAGAAGAGTGTGAATTACAAAGCCAAAGCTAGGAATGCTTTCTAGAAGCTGAGCAATAATATACTGGTGCTTTCCTCAGAGAAACACACAGCCAGAAACTCAAGACCTCCAAGTCGGGGGTCAGGAGGTGAACTGTGGGCCACAGTCTGAGACAATCTCAGTGGAAAGGCTGCTGAGAGGAAAGACATGGGCAAACTAGGAGTTTAGCTCTTTCTGAGGAAGACAGACGTTTAGAGAGATGACAGGGTTTGGACAATCTATTAATGATGCTTAGGATAACCATTGTATTATTAGAGATAGGAAGACCTGTAATAAAGTCCAATGGATTGTGGGACCAGGGCTGACTAGGAATGGCAGACGAGGCAGTGCTGACAGAGCATTGGGCTCTCTGCTCTCCAGCTACTCTTGGTAGCTGGAGAGCAGAATGGTGAGGAGGATGGATGAAAGCAAAAATTACTGTTGGATCTGAAGTTCTGCTGAATGAAAGAAGAGCTAGTAGTGCAGTCTAAAACCAGGGTTGTGTTCTGCAAGGAAGAGGAGAAAATGGTGAGTTACAAGACAAAAACTAGGAATGCTTTCCAGATGCGTTTCTAACCCTGTTTAACACTCGCAGATCAATAATATACTGGTGCTTTCCTCAGGGAAGACTCTCTATTAGACCTTCTTCCAGATGAGCTCCAGGAGTAGCCAATTACCTGTTCAGGTAGAAACTTTACACAAACCAACCTACACACACAGACCTAAAGTAACAGAGCTAACAGAAATGTTTATGCTTACAACTCAAGAATGAACAAAGCCTTTCTTTGAAGGTAACCCAAGCATAATTTATCTGACCTTATAAAATCAAAATTCACTGAATATTAAACATCCTGTGCATGTTTAAACTGTCCATCACAGTCTTGACCTTATTCTCTTAGATGCTGAAGTATGTATGTGCTGTACAGTATGTATGTATTTCACCGGCAAAACATTAAAGAAAAAAAACATTATAGTGCAGAGCATGTCACTTATTTCTTAAGTGCAAAAAAGCAGGTAGCAGAAGACAATGGAAGGCTATGAAACATAATGACGAATTATGCAAGTAAATATATGTTTAATACTACATACAGTTTGCTTGAAGGTTTACATACCTTCCCATTAAAGAAAATTATACATTTAAACTAGCAATTCAAATAACACTGTTAAAAGAAATGACAAATAAAAATGTACTAATTAATAATTGAGTAAAAAAAATTACTTTGAATTTAAATTTGAAAATATATTCTAAAAAAAACAGTCCCAGACAATTTCAAAAGCCCAGCTTATGAACAGTGAACCAAGATACGTGTCATCAGGTGCAGAAGTCTGACTTAACATTTCCTCTCTGTTTTACCGGCAGCTGTTTTTTTATTTCGTTAATGGAACGTTATGTAAACTTTCAAGCACAACTGTACTTTGAGAATGTGCAAGGTATAGTCACGCATACTATTATAGCTTGGGTATTAACAACTGCTTTTACATCCATGCAGCCATCTTTATTTCAACATTAGTCAATAGGTAACTGTGTAAAAGTGGCATTGCGGCTTTGGATGTTCCTTTTTTTATTTCCTCAATTTCAGAGGACATTCTGAGGAGACTCAAATGAAAAACTTTTTTTGTTTGTTTATCCCTGGTTTCTTATGTAATCCAGATTATTTTCACCTTCTTAGGATCCACACTGATACCTAAGATGACCCGCATTGTGTGTGCTTTGTCCACAAGACAAACACGATATATTGTTTTGGAATCAGGAACCACCATGAGAATCAGTCACATGGAAAGCTCAAGGTTGTGATGGGCTTTTGGTTCTAACTATTACACCCAGTGAATAGGTCACTTCATTACTATGAATATTATTGGTTTTATCTCACAGGTGGTCTTCTCTGCAAAGCACCTTTCACAATTATTAACACTCCCAATTGATAGGAAGGTACTTTTACTGTTAAGTGTTAGAAAACACGAGCATGATTTTTAAAACTCAAAGCCAAAATCTGAAAAGTGTGGAATAGTTTTGTACTTAGTTCCCTTAATCTCTTGCACCTGGTAAAAGCCTGTTCAGCCAACTATCAAAAGACATCAAAGTAGCAGATAGAGTCAACCAAAGAGTACTGTAGTCTTTTTGTAAATGCAATTGTTCAATCCATAATCAGATCATAAAAAGCCAAAAGCCATGTATTTACTTTTGAGAGGATTAGAAATTCACAGCCTAGGCAGGAAAATGTGTTTACTGGAAACTTTAAAGCCAATAAAAATGTCTAAAAATAAGTTTGTCTATCTTAAAATTGATGTGGAAAAATCTAAATAGAAAATATAACATCTAGAATAAGGATTGTTTAAGACTAAAATGCTTGCAGAAGTTGAACTTTAAACAGAATTAATGGGGGTGTCTGCAATGGTTAATTCAGGGCATATTTCAAATGATCGTATTTTCTGTTAAATGTTCAGACATAAATCGAAATAGGGATCAGCAAAAAAACTGAAACCAAATGTTCACAACCCATCTTCATGCAGTCTTACATTTGAAAAGAACAACTGATGAAAGCTAAAACCTCTAGAGTTGCAGATCTTGTAGAGACATACCACAAAACATAACGTAATTGCAAGAATACTCTCTAGCCTGTTGTGTTTTGTTTGTACTTTGAAAAAAATGCATAAATTATAAACACAAAAGATTTTCCTATAAAGTGTTCAATAACTGCTACTTTTTGCTGCCCTATTATCCAAAAGCCAGCCTAAACGCAGTTAATTGTGAACTTTTTAGATGACTGAGTTTAGAAAAATTTGTGGTCTGCAATGCTGTAGAGCATTGTATTACCAACATATGACTCTGGCTCGCACTGATTAAAAAAGTCAAGTCTATAAAAAATTATATTGAGAGACTATCCAAATACAGAAACAATTCTGAAAACCATTTCATGAATATCTTTTGCCCTTTTTAAATTCTAGCCATAATATTCTATATCATTGTTATGTCTGAGCATTAATATCTACATGAAAAATGTGGTAAAAGATTGTTTTACTTTGCTGAATATTTGAGCTTACTTTGTGAGATAAGATGATATTCAGGTTTGAAAGCAAATTCCACCAAGGATGCAGACGTCAGGACTTTCAATCAGGAAATAAAAAACAAGCTCTGTGAGAACGGATCAGTTTTCTGTTTGTGGTATAAACAAAGCCTAACCTTTAAATGTCAGCAGAAACAGTCCAGTGATCTTACTGAAGGAATGGTGGTATAATAGGTTCCTACAAAGTAACTGATGTCCTTTTTCCAACTGGGGGAATTTGAGCAGTGGACTGTTATCTTACAGACTGACAAGGTCCTATTTGGATTCTAATCTAATTATTCGACAGGATACTTTGGTTGAAGAACATGGCTGATTCTGCTTTTCCATTACCACCAGACTCCTTTTGTCCACTATGTGCTGATGGACTAAGAGATCCAGTCACCATTCCTTGTGGTGACACTTACTGCCTGGAGTGTATCAAGATCTACTGGGATCAGTTCGATCATATGGGTGTGTACAGCTGTCCTCAATGCCGTGCAACTTTCACGCCGCGACCTGTCCTGAGACGCAATGTGCCAGATGTTCAGCACGAACATGAGCCCCGCCAGCAGCTTCCAGAGCTGACTCCCTTTCCTTACATGCACCGTGAATCCTACTGCGACTTTTGCGTTGGCCGCCGCAACAGGGCCGTCAAGTCATGCCTCATGTGTCTGGCCTACTACTGCGAAACTCATGTCAAGCCTCATTATGAATCCTCTACATTCAAGAGGCACAAACTAGTGGATGAGACGGGTCACCTTGACAGGAAGATCTGCCCCCAGCATGAGAAAGGCCTGGAGCTGTTCTGTCGGTCCGACCAGATGTGCATCTGTGTGCTGTGTACTGTCAGGGAGCACCGCAGCCACAATATTGCCTCAGCAGAAGAAGAGCGTATTGATAAACAAGTAAGTTCTAGCAATGTTGTCTGACCAGTACCTTTGAGTGTGATGCATTAGCATCTCTAAATTAGATTTAGCCAACATGATCAAACAATTGAAGTCTTTTTGGTGCCTGTTATGAGGATGCATCTGTAGAGGAGATCAATCTATGGTGAAGCAATGAAAAAAACTGTATTTACCATTAAAAATAAAGGATGACATACACTGTTGTTTGCCCTTTTCAGGCCATTTCGCCAGTCATTCAAAAATGTTTTCGATCGGGCCAAGTATCTGCCTCATCATACATCCTGCGTTGTATATTTTACGTGGTAACGAGGGCACATTAGCCTCTCAAAACCACCTCCCGATCAGGAATTGTAAGGTTGGGACAAAAATCAAACATCTTTGCGATTCGGTCAGCCCTCGTGAGGTGTTCATGAGCTAATCCTGCTGTTGATGCAGAGCTATTAGTGACTACAATATGATTTAGCAAACGATTTAACAAACGATTTAACAAACTTGCACAAACTTGCGCAGACTGCGCATGTGCAAACAAGGGCATTCTTCTTCAACAGGTCTGATGTGTGGTTTTTGGATGTACAGTGTGAGCAGTTAGATCCCATCAGAGCATCGGGCCGTACAGTGTAAGATCATACATCATGAGTTCTGAACTTTTAAACCCTTCGATTTCATCGTATAGTTTGAGCTGTGACTGAGTACAAAGTTTGAAAATATTGTGTAGTCTATGCCCAGCCTAACTGTTATGAACAGTTATAAAAATGTGATAACATCTAGAGAATGGTTCTTTTTTTTAAATGCTTTCTACTAAAGATGGTAAAGGAGAATAATGACAAAGGGATACAGAAGTTAAGACTAATCTTCATCTAGTATTACACTCTGTTTTTCATCTTATTGTATTTTTACTTCATAACTAGACATTTGGCTCCTTGTTAGAAAAAGCGTCTAAACAATTTGCAAATAATTTATTGATGTTCAGACTTGATTTTATTGATTTGTTGAAAATGTACCCGTTTTTATGTCTTAAATTGAATTTGAGAATTTTTGTAGACAACTGAATATACTCTCCTTTAGGCAATTTTGATTTGAACAACAGAAAAGCCTCAAAGCTCAAAGTCTATTGTCCCTCTACAGAATCAAATCAAGTTGTTATTAACTTTGGTTTTTGCTTTTGGCATATTTGCATTGTATACAGAATTTACTTTAACATTCTTATGTTTTCTGTTTTATTTTATATTTAGATGTAAGCTTAGCTCGAATGACTTTTAGACCATACAATTTAGTTAGGTCTAAACTCAGACAAATGAAATTCTAATCCAATCCCTTCATTTATATAGGGCTTATTCACAACACCTTATATCTCAAGGCACTTTAAAGAGTAAATTTAATCAGCTTTTATAGATAGATTGGTTAGGATTGATTTAGATAATTTAATTATAAATAATAAATTTACAAGATAATTTATTATATTTTATCATTATATATATTTTTGGAAAAAAAAAATGCCAGGAACTATAAATTTATGGTCATATGTGTATATTACTGATTTTTTATTTATTTTTTCTTACTATTTTTTCAAGGCTGCACTTTAAAAAAAATGAAATTGTCCAGAGAGCTGTTCTAAACAATTTATTTTGTTTTACTCTTGCGTAAAAAAAATCACAAATAAATCTCTCTAATTCTAAGTCTAAGAAGTGTTCTGTCTAAGAGGTGAGGAACATCCAAGAATCCAAGTAGGTTTAGGATTGCTTTTAGGCCTCAATAAAATATGTTTGTTGAATTTGTAACTGTAAAGCTATTAATATGTTATTGGTTAGATCAGTACAGAGGTGGGTTTGATGCTACTAAGGTTATAAAGCTGCTCAAAACTCTTAAAAGTAAAAGGTTTGCAAAGGTTGTGCTGTTGAAAA